CACATGAGACTGCTGACTGACTGGCTCACTCAACTCGTGCATGAATCGTGCGCCTCCCCCGTGCAGCGTATCCCGTGGCCCGCCTGCGCCGCGTCTCCCGTCGCCCTGCCGACCGACACCCCCCACTTCTTCTAACGCCACTTCTTCAAAATAGACTCGCCCAGGCCGAAAACCGACTTCTGCGCATGGGCCATGAAGTTTCAATTGCACTGTACGTGCAGGCCCGCACGTGGTATTTTGTGGAAGAGCCACACTCAAGGGGCCAAAGAGCCACATGTGGCTCTCGAGCCGCGGTTTGCCGACCACTGCCCTAGCTTAGGCACAGGAAATGTTTGTGGAATCTATAATAATAAAAGCGTAATCTGCTATTTGACTGGACATCCTTCCAGAGGAAGCTGGGGCTGCGAGGGAAGCCTGGGTCCCGGGTCCCAGGTGCTGGGAAGCCCGGGTCCTGGGTGCCAGAGGGAAGCTGGTGCCGGCAGCCGGGGGAAGGAAGGCCTACTCTTGCACGAATTTCGTGCATCGGGCCTCTAGTGAAGAATAAAGATGAATTTAGCAGAGAGCGCATAGCACCTCACAATGCCTGGCTTTCAGTAAATGTGAGTTTTCTTTCACCCTTTCTTATCCTTGTGCTTATCATTATCATTCCATTTAACCTGTGTGAAATCAGGATGTATTTTACAATGGATCAACATGTATTGTAAGGCTTCATTTTATTCCCTTAAGTCTATTCAATCGATGATGCTTCTTAAACATCAAGTTGTCCTAGAATCAACTTGATATGGCATTATTTTAAGTATCAAGAGACAAGGGGGCTAGAGATCAATGGCTCTGTTAAAAAGAAAAAAAAAAATCTTAGCATCTCCTGCTCATCAGACAATCCCCATGGCTGCTTTCCAGAACAAAATGCTCATTTCTGCACCTGAGCCCAGGACTGCAGCAGAGGCAGAAGCACCCTGAACATTTCTTTCTGATTGTGGCTTGAAACTGTACATCACTGACCCTTGCTGTGGGTTGGAGGAGGGGCAAGTGGTTATGAAAAACACTCCATAAAGGCAACACCTAGAAGGTTGAAAGGTCGTAGTCAGATACTTGGGCAGGTAACAGTAGCAACAGACATTGAAAGAGAATATGGGGACTAAGGAAAAAGCAAATGCTATGTAACCTCCTGACAGTTGGATGTCTCGACTTTTATGTCCCACATGTTATCCTGGCTGCGAACCACTAGTATAGATTCATTCAAGTTCTATTCCAACTTTGAATCTCTGAAAGCCTGTGTTCTTCACTGGGCATAGAGCAGGTAGAAAAACTAGAATTTGAATATTATTTGGAATTTAATTTACATCATTCAGTATCTTAATCCTTCATGTGGAGGGTTGTATTGTTTGTATTTTTTTAATCTCCTTTCCTCCAAGAGAATTGTATATATCTGCCCATGTTCTTGACTCCCGGAATTTATCTTGGATATATACCTAGGAGTAGAACTGCTGGGTCCTATAGTAACTCTGTATTTAATTTTTTGAGGAACTGCCAAAATGTTTTTCATATCTGCTGTACCATTTTACAATCCCATCAGCAGTGTATTTCAGTTCCATGTTCTCTATATCCTTATCAACACTTGTTACCTGACTTTTTGATTATGGCCACTCTAGTGAGTATAAAGTGGTATCTAATTGTGGTTTTGATTTGCATTTGCCTGATGGCTAATGATGTCAAGCATCTTTTTCATGGGCTTATTGGCCATCTGTGCATCTTTTTTTTGAGAAATGTCTATTCAGACTCTTTGCCCAACCTTAAAATTGGGTTATCTTTTTAGTATTACAGAGTTGTAAGATTATATATATATAAATTAGTTAGGAGTCCCTTATTAGATATATGCTTTGCAAATTTTCTCCCGTTCTGTGGGTTGTATTTTCACTTTCTTGGTAGTGCCCTTTGAAGTATAGAATTTTGATGAAGTCCAATTTGTTTTTTTGTTCTTTTGTTGCTTATACTTTGGGTGTCATATCTAAGAATCCATTGCCAGTGTTTTCTTCTGATAGTTTTACACTTTTAGCACATTCATTTAGGTCTCTGGTCTATTTTGAGTTAATTTTTGTATGGGGCATGAGGTAAGGATCCAACTTCATTCTTTGAGTTCTGGTGCTGGGGTCAGGGACAGTGATGTACCTCTCTCTGAGTGACACCCCCACTTTAGGAGCTCAGTGCTTGATAGGGAGAGACAGTAGTCCCAGGTCTCCTGGCTTGCCTCTCCAGGAGCAGTCAGGGCCCCAGTATTCTCGGGGGTTCTGTGCCCACAATAGAGCCTCCATCCCATGAGTAGGTAGGACTGGGCTAAACAAGGGAGCCCCCACCTCTCTGCTGTATTTGATGGGAACGTAGCCTCAGCAACAGGCATCTAGGGACAGGATGGTAAATGCTGACGTCCTTTCCCTCCCAGGAAGGTAACCCTGCCAGTGGGAGCTGCGGGGAGAGGAACCCTGTATCTAGGCTGCACCACTGTGGAGTGGAGTTTCCCTCTCGCTGAGCTGACTGGAAGCAGGGAGGGAGGTATTTGGTTCAAATACCACAGACTCTCACGTTATTGACCTTTAGTGAATTTTCTTAAATGTTTCTTCATTTGCCTTCTTTTGACTAGGGTTTTGGACCACTTCCAGAGATTTAAATAATTTTTTGGAAATAATTTTCCCCAGTTTTGCTGTGGGGTGGGTGCAGAGAGGTCCTCGCTGTCCTGCTGCTATAGATTCTTTTTTGAGAACTCAAAACCAGTGAGACTGTGGGCAGTGGAAAACCAGAAAACTCAAATTCTGGTGCCCATATAATAACTCACTCGATAAATATTGATTAAATATCACTTATGAAAATGGCTCAGAACTAAAAATGGATTGAGTTGACCGTAACCAAAGCAGGGAGTTCTGATTTTGCAGACACACCATTACCCATACACTTTATGGAATATCTACTATATGTGAGGTGGAAGAATAGAAGATAAAAAGCTAAAAACCTATTTTAGAAACTAGGAGAGTTTCACAAAAGGAGAACTAATAAACCAAGGCAGCCTATATAAATGCCCAGAGAATAATTGCTCCAGTTTTTCAGGGGCACAAGAAACTACCCAGCACCGGAGTGGTCAGTCCTGGAGGAAGAATGAGCTCAGCCAGGTTTGGAGAAGAGCAGGATTCAGCCGTGTGTGTGTGTGTGTGTGTGTGTGTGTGTGTGTGTGTGTTGGGGGAACGCACTTTCCAAGGCAGGGATGCTGAAGTGGGGTTGTATTTGGTATGCCGAAGCAATAATGTGCAGACCTGCCTGCTTGCCCAAAGGTCTGTACGGAGAGATCAAGTTGAAGAAATGAGGTGGTGACCAGAATAGCAGGGGAGTGGAGGGCTTGGATGTTGGACCAGTGGAGTTTGGTCCCTATCTTCTGGACTGCTGAGAACAGTAAGTTCTTTTTAGAGAAGAGTGACTGGGACAAAGAGGTATGTAAGAAAATGGCTTTGCCTGTAGTGTGTAGATGGAATGAAGGGGTGTGTGTGTGCGTGTGTGTGTGTGTGTGTGTGTGTGTGTGCACGCGCATGCGCGTTTTGCACGCAGTAGGGAGCCTGGAGGCAGAGACTAGTTATTAGACAGTTGGAAAGAAATGACAGTCTGGATTAAGTGAAGGGGGGGGGGGGAAGGAATGGAAGTAAGTGTCTGGTGAATAGTAAGATATAATCATGACTTCAATAATGCCAAGCCATTTTTAAAAGAAACATGGCAGTTTCGATGTAAAAAAAAATCCTGGAATGCAATATGATATGGTCTAATCTAGCGATTTAAGATACTATGCCTATTTTAAAGATGAATTTCTCATGCAGTAACTATAGTTAAACGGATCTTTTTATTTTTTTAAGTTGCATGTATTTTTCCTGTTACTTCAAATTCCAGCTCTTCACAATTTGCTTACTTTGATCTCAAATTAACCTATAGTATGTACGTGCAGAAGAGAACCCAGGGTTGCAACAACAGCAAAGATTGTGCACGGTTTTATGGATGAGTTTCCTCCCTTGCAAACAGCCATCCATGTAGACATGGGAGGCACGTGGCCAACTCCAGCTTTTTTAGCAGGTGTAACGTGACCTTCAAAACTCCTCAGGACAAGCAGCTCCCCCGTGGGGCTGCATTTCCCATCAGACTCAGGTGGGCAGGGTCTCCGGGGCTGCCCGGTTGACTATGGCTCGCGGTTCTGAGGCCAGAGTCGGCAAAAAGAATACAAAAACACGGGCAAAAAACAAACCACAAAACCCCATGCCTTCCCACAGTGGGCTGATGAGTGAAGTCGCAGAAAGAAGGTTCTGCTCTTGCCCTTTTAAAATTCCAGTGCAGCAAACACTCGCGCGGACACACACACACACACACACACACACACACACACGGTCGGCCGGCTCTTCCCACTCTCGGCACCGCACCGGCGTCCCTCCCCAAGTCCTGATTCATGAACCGTGCCACCTTTGTCTCGTTTTAAACTGTGCAGACTATTTTAATCCCGCCACCCCCACCGCAGACTCCCCGCTCCCTCCATCCTCTGGAAAGCTCCGCTGTAAGGCGCCGGCTCGGTGGGAGCGCGCTTCTCCCCGTCGGCGCGGGTGGGCGAGATCCCGAGAAGCCCTCGGCGGGACCTCTGCCTGCGGGGCGCTGCCCGGACGCCGCTGCGGCGCGGGGCACGCGCCTCGGTCCCTTTAAGGTGTCGCGCTCCCCGAAGTGCGGGCAGGGAGCCGCGAGCCGGCGCGGTCCCGAAGCCGGTGGGGACGTCCTGCCGCCCTCCCCTCCCCCGCGGCCGAGTCTCCGGGGGCCTGCGGGTCCTCCGCCCACCGCGCGCGGGCTGGGCTGGCCAGCGGCTGGGAAGCATGTCCTCCTACGCCAAGAACGGGACCGCGGACGGGCCGCCCTCGCCCACCTCGCAGGTACCGCCCCCTCCCCCGCCTCCCCCTCCTCGGCCGCCCCACAGCGCCCCGCCTTTCGTGCCGGGCGCCGGGCCCCCAGTCCTGGGAGCGGGGCGGCCTATCCCCCACCCTCCTCCGCGTCCCTTTCTCCTCCCGCTCCTCCTCTTTCTCCTCCTCCTCCTCTTTCTCCTCCTCCTCTTTTTCCTCCTCCTCCTCCTCCTCACCTCGACTCGTCTCTGCGCTCCCGCTTCCGAGCCCGCAGCCTTCCCCAGCAGATGCCGGGGACTCGGACCCCGCACCCTGAGAGTCTTTGTTAATGGATGTGGTGGGTGCTCGCGGGCTGCTCCTCTCGGGCATCATTTCAGTTGTCTTGGCTTAGAGTGGATGGGTGGGGGCGGGGGCTGGACTTGGGGGCCGCGGAGGAGACTTGGGTGCGGGCTCTGGGGGACCCCAGGGAGCTGGTTCCGAGGCGGACTGGAGCCGGGGGAGGTCGCTGCTCTCCACGGTGCGGTCCTCACCCGCTTCTCTCTGGCCCCGTGTATCGAGTCCAGGTGGCCCGAGGCACCACGACCCGGAGGAGCAGGTTGAAAAGATCCGATGGCAGCACCACTTCGACCAGCTTCATCCTCAGACAGGTAGGAGGCGGGCGCGGCGCGGAGGCGGGGGAGCGGGCTGGGCAGGAGGCCAGAGCGCGGCGCGGGGGTCCGGGGGCCGAGCGCCTCCTTCCCGCTCCGCGGGCGCTCCCGCTGCGCCCTGCCCGCCCTGCCCCTGCTCAACCTGCCCCTGCTCGCGAAGTCTGCGGGTCCGGGCGTCTCGGCACCGCCCTGGGAAGTAAGTTTGTGCGTCTGGACGCAAGTCGGCGGGGACCCGGCTTAGCGCAGGGACATTGCACTGGAGACGGGCATATTCCTCGTGGCATCTTCAGTGCGTGGGGAAGTCTCGAAGTTGTATAACTGGACATTGAGTAAGCAAAGCCCGTGGGGCCGCCGGGCACCGGGTTTGATTGGGCTGAGAGTTACGGGTCTCTTCTTTTTTGAATCCTCTTCTTTGTCTAGGTCTTGGGAGAGATCTCCAAGCTCTAGTCGCAAGACAGACAATTAGAGCAGAAAGTTAGGGCTCACTTTCAGACTGCTTCCTTGGTTCTCTAGATGAATGAGATAGCTGGGTCTGTTCAAATCCAGATAAGCGAAGGCCGGCACTCAGCGCCTGGGGTATGGGTGGTGATACACTTAGTGTTTGTTTCTTGTCTTTTGTTGTTGTTGTTGTTGTTTTGTGTGTTTGTTTCGTAGTGATTGTTTTTTCTGCGTGGCTCTCATGCGCGTTGTGTGTGCTAAAGATTGCAGGTTACCCTGAATGCTTAGGTTTAGGTGCCTTTTATCTTGACCCAGGCAGGATATTGGCCCTTAATTTTGGTACTGACATGTGCTGTAAATGAAACCACCTCTGCGTATCTGCTGGGTGCTAGGGAGAGCATTAAAAAAAAAAAAAAAAAGGAGTCACCTTGATCTCTTTTTGGAACAGATTTGTCAAGGTGTGTGTGTTAGGGGTGACCTGCGAGGACTTTGGTCATTGCACCAAGACGCTTGCTTTTATTCCAGCCTCCACTGTGGACTGCGGGAGTGACCTTGGCGAGTTCTTTTCCCTCCAGGCCACTGGGAGCTTTGTGTAATGTGCTTTTAACCTTTGGCGGCAGCTTTGCTGTGTTTCTTGAGGGATTATCTCACCAGTTTGAACAGGTTATCCATGTTGGATGGGCATTAGACTCAAAATTGGACTCAGACCTCTCCTAAAGGGTCCATAAAGCATAATTAGATATTTATTATGTAGATATTCATCTTCTGCAGAGACAGATACTATTACTTCTCTTTAATTCAGTGAGCACTAAGATGAGCATTATTAAAATAAATATATTTGGATTCTGAATTCATTTTAAAATACAGTCTGTTCCCTTTGCTGTGCTTAGATTATTTACATATTTGATAAGACATTCTTCATCTTTAAACAAATTTAGTTATGTTACTGAGATCTTATTGTTGTTTACTTGATAGGTACTTATTTGTGGTAGTTTTATTGTTGCAAAATTCTTAGACATACTATCAGCATATTCCATGAACTGTTTGACTGAAGCGTTTGAGTTCATCTATACCATCACGTCACTAATGCTTTATTCTTCCAAGCACAAACAATATAGTCATAGTCTTTCTAATGTCTTGTCCTCAATTTGTTCCAATACATGATTAAGTGAGATGATACATGTATAAGTTCTTGTTAAGTGTGCTGGTATGTGTTGACGTAAAAATATGAAAAGTGTTGCATGGTAAATAATTCTGGGAGTAATTTAAACCAATGCAGATTTTTAGAACAAATACATTTCATAAATCTTTCTGAAACTGGGATTTGTTAGTTTAATAAAATGGTCTAATTTAAATGTAGGAATTACTGTAGTTGTGATTATATCATATACACAACCTTCCTATTTATTTTTGCAAAAAAATACATAATTTTTGCAAGCATGTACAGTTCAGAAAGTATTCTACACCTGATCTCATTTAAGTGGGATAATACAGATATCTATAATGGCTGCAATAAAAATAACCGAGAGAATTTTTATTTCTTTGAGAAGGTATGAAAACTGATTGCAAATGAAATGTAACAGTGTGTTATTTGAAATAAAATTGAACAGTTTTCACCCCAATGCTAAAATAATTTTTTAAGCACAACAGCTCTTTATGTTACTAGAGTCTCATTATTTGTTGAACGACCAATGATTTATTATTTTTGAATTCTTGATACATTGGAGTGCTGGTGATATTTCCAAGTCTGTATGATGCTATTGCACATGAAGAAGATAATTGCAATATCAATAAAACAGTGCTGCTCATTTCTCTGTCATATTACTTACAAATATTACAAATATATGGAAAGGAAGCTTTCGCTAAAAAAAAAACTGATGTGTCAAATCAGATGGGTAATACTGGACAGAGAACAGTTGGCAGACTCACTTAATAAAACAATGTTTATTCTTAAAGTTGGTAAAAATGTTAGTGTTTTGTGTGTATATGTGCACAAATCCATGTGCACACACCTACATATGCACACATGTGAGCTGGCCTGAAAGGAAGCAGAGTGAGAAAGAGAGCATGCCGCCACTCAGGACTGTGCACAAACTCCCTCACCACCCTTGACCTTTGTTTCCTGGTTTACTAGATTGCTGGCTTCTACAGTTTAGGAGGGATGGGTGTTCTGGAATGGATCCAGGGAGCAATTAAGTGGCTTCTTTGAGGAAAGGTGAGAACATTAAGTATTTTGCCAGTGAAAGGAGAGAGTGCTCGGGGTGATCCAGGAATGATCTTCAAACTGAACACGAAGGCATTCTTTGGAAATGTGATGGACTGCTTTTGGTCTTCATTGAAGATGAAACTTAAGAACTGGCTACAATTAAAAAGGAATGAAGTTTTAGCCCAGCTCGAGTGGCTCATTTGGTTGCATGTCATCCTGGGTTGTGGTTGGATCACCTGTTGGGGCGTGTATGGAAGGCAACCGATCAATGTTTCTCAAGTCAACATGATCTCTCTCTCTCTCTCTCTCTCTCTCTCTCTCTCTCTCCACCCCCTTCCTCTTTCTAAGCATATCCTTAGGTGGGGATTTAAAGAAAAGAAAGGAATGAGGTTTTACAGCAAAACTTTTCTAAGAGTATTGCTATCATTGGAATGGCTTTCCAAGTGAGGCTGTAGAATTTTCTCATAGGAGATTACTTCTGACAGGCTGAATGGATTATTTATTCATGTTTTACATTTTTAGGAAACATTTGCTATGTGCTCAGCAGTTTGCTAGATACTGTGAAAGAAGAATGAAAAAGATGAATGGGACATAGCCCCCACACCCAAAGGATCTTATAGAGTAGTATGGAGACATGGGTGTATAGAAAGGAAATATTTAGGTAGAGCATAGTGTGCAGCAATATAGCAAGGAATGAGAGCATGGGCAAAATGCCCATGTGCGCTGAGCATTGAAATACCCATGGGTGTCCCTGCACATACAGTTAGTATGGTGCAGGTTACTCTCCCTTGGGTTACTCCCAACTTTCTCCCCATTGGGGTTTGAAGAGAAAATCTGACCAGGGTGGGATTGGTAGGTTGAACTTTCCTTGTAAAATCTGCCCTCATGAGGATTGCAGTCTTAGAAGGCCTGGCCCCCAAGCCTCATCTTGAGTCCAGATCTCTTAGTTCTGAACTCAGATCTTTAACATATCACCCTCTCTCCTGCCACAGGCCCTTTGCACATGCTGAGAGCCCTCTCTATGGAGTGCTCTTGCTCTCCCCGATGCCTACTTAATTTTTAATCTTCCTCGAGATCTAACTTTAGTCATCACTTCTTTTTCTAACCCCTTTGATGAGGTCAGGTCCTTAACCATGCACCTCATCCCAGAGTATATTATGCCAGTTCTCACCACTATTATAATTCAACATGTAATTAGATTTCTCTGTTCATGTCTTTCTCCTCATCCAGATAATGAGTTCCACCAGGGCAGGGACATGTCTGCATTTGGTCTCCTTTGCATCCTCAGCATTTAGCTTAGTAGATGTTCAATAAAGACGTGTTCATTTGAATGAATGGAGAAACGGGTGGATACAGGACTAGCTTGACACATTTTAGGCATGGAGTTCTGCTTCCACATTTAACTTTTTGTTTAATGAGGAGAAATTGCTTCTTAACAGACCTTCAAAAAATGTAGTGGTTTAAAGCAACCACACTTTAAAAAAAATAGTTTTCTGTGGGCTGATCAGACAGTTCTGCTTTCTGTGATGTTATCTGGGCACTGGCATGACCGAAGGGTCTAAAATAGCTCACCTGGTTGTGCAGTGGGTGCTAGCTGCTGGCTGAGAACTAACCTAGCGCTTTTGGCAGGAGGCTGAGTTTTCCTCTACCCAGCCTCTCTGTGTGGTTGCATGAGCTTCCATGGTGGCTGGGTTCCTAGAAGGAGCATCCCCAGCAGGAAAGGCTGAAGCTGCAGATTTGGTGAGACCTAGTATCAGAGGCTCTCTGACAGTACTTCCATTCCATCCTCTTAAGTCAAAACAGACCAAAGAGCCAGCCTCGTGTCAAAGGGAGGGTAAGTAGACTCTATATTTTGCTGGTGCAGCAAGGTCGCCTTACGAAAGAGCATGTAGAACAGAAGATACTGTTGTAGACATCTTTGGAGCCATCTATCCTAGAGCAAGGAACTTTTATTTTTTTAGGTATGCTAATCAAATGCTCATTACAATAATTCAATGAACCCACACTGTATTCAGAGGTCTAAAACATATTGAGAGACTAAGTTGATACTATAATAAAACACGTCGGCAAAAAGATTCTTTGGGTTATAATTTGAGCACTGATTATAGAAACCTTTTTCTGATGAAATGCCAAGTTTTCTCCAATGAAATGCAAATTCATCAACAGACGGTATATATACTTTGTGCATAGCTCTAAGAATAATCATATGCCTAAAGGCATATATATGCACAAAATTTATTTATAAACTTAGATTCACAGAATTTTAGAACAGGAGGAGATTGCAGAGGGAAAATGCTTCAATTCCCCCATTTTCAGGTAAATAAAACGGAGACCAAGGGACATAAAGGCCTTACCA